CTACATTGAAGGAAAATTGAAGAAGAAGAACAATGATGCGGAGAATTTTCTCGCAAATAATTGCGTGGCATTTATGTTTGACGAAATTCGGTACGAACTCAACGGTGTGGAGATTGATCGCATCAGAAACGCTGGAATAACCAGCACTATCAAGAATTATGTATCGCTAACGTTTGACAAATCGCAGATCTTGCGAAATGCAGGATGGGACACTTTATCAACCATACCGGAAGGAGACTTTAATTTTTGCGTACCGCTCAACATGCTTTTAAGCTTTTGCGAGGATTACAAACGTGTGGTTATTAACACTCGTCATGAATTGATTTTGATACGAGCGCGCACTGACAACAATTCTATCAAGGGAGATTCGAAGACGGAACCTGAAATTGAACTACTTAAAGTACAGTGGCGAATGCCTCACGTTATGTTGAATGAGGCTAATAAACTGTCTTTGCTACGAACTTTGGAAAGCGGACGATATCTGAGTATGAGTTTCCGATCATGGGAACTGTACGAGTACCCGCTATTGCAGAGCACAACCAGACATTCATGGGCTATCAAATCAGCGTTAGAGAAACCGCGATATGTTATCTTTGCTCTGCAGACTGGTCGAAAGAATGGTTAAAGGATTTGCTGTTGGACGACACGAGAGGAGATGCCTACATCGAAACTATTGACGCTGACTACGAGGATATACAATCTCTCAATAAATTAGACGATACGTGTACTTTTCGCTGTCAGAAACATGTAACAAATTGTGCTTTACAAAATGTATTTAACTATTCAATTGGTGGTCTAACCATAATAAAATGAAAATATAATTTTATGTATCCATACGGTGCGAATTTCTTCTTTCCGTTTGCACACTCTCCCTTCCACAGCATATTTTCCCCCTTTACCATAGTAGCATTTTTTAATTTATCCCAATCTTATATGTATGTGTAGGAAGCAGAAGAAAAATATTAGTCAAACAATAAATTTTTATTTTCAATTATAAATTTATCGTTCTCATCTCGTTTAAAAGTTATTTTCAATTATAAATTTATCGTCCTCATCTCGTTTAAAAGCCTCAGCAATAATTTCATCTACATATGCTATTAGTTCACAATCTATGGTCGAAGATTTGTCATACCAGTTGTGCAGCATTCTAACTGCATCGTCTTTTTCGACACCGATCAAATTGCCACGTAAGCAGCTCACAAGTTGATCGAAGCTTTGATCTATTTCGCTTAACATGTCACACAGTTTGCGATATACGTGCTCGACACAATGTTCGAGTTGGAATAAAAATAATACGGTTGGTACTTTCATATACATGCAAGTATTTTTAAATGTTAGCTTTACAATTTTTCCGCCGTACATTGTGACGAGTTCTAAGACTAAATCGTTAATATGCATCGATGATGATGGCGATGACGCATCTGCTGTTTTCAAGAGCTGCTCAATTTCTGCGCGTTTCTTGTTCAATTCCGTCCACATTGAATAATCTAACACCATCCGATTTCCGCGATTGTCGCCGAGAATGATGTCCACATAGGATGCACCAGATACCACGCAGATTCCACCATCCAAGTATTTGTATGCAGTGGATGTCAGAGCGAATCTCCTGCTCATGATACGAGGCGTGTAGCAAGGTTTATCGGAACTGAAAGAATACATAAAGTAAAAATAATTACAATCAAATGATGAAAAGTATGAACGAATATACGATAATTTCATGGTACTTACGCATCATGTTGTTTCTTGCACGAAACAGTTTTATCTCGAGAAACGGATGGTGTATAACTTTGAGGAATGGATGGCGTATAACTACTTTGAGGAACATACGGCGTGTAACGACGATTGCTAAAACAGTGTGAAAAAAATACAATTAAATGTGGAAAAATGTATGCAATATATGATAGCTTATTGGTACTTACACGTTACACTGTGTCTTGCACGATATACTCAGAGGAACGTACTGATTCATTCTTCCAACACTGTGTTGAAAACACCGATGAAATCGACTCACTCCGACGGCGGCGACTGAAACTCTGAGGTTTAGTTCTCGATCTCGTATAAAATCTCCTACTGTGGTACTGCGGACTTTCGGACCGTTTATATGCCATAAAATGTCGCTGTCAGCGGCCAGGTTTCGGCGCTTGACCCCGTAACTCACGCCATGGATACGCGCAGCTGTGGTATCGGCGCTAATCAAAGGCATCTCCAATGATATCTATTACATGCATGTGTCGCGGATTGCCTCGCGCCGCGGACCTCCCCGCACCCCGCGAATCGCCGCAGAATATCTCCTTCCCCGCGCCCCGCGGATCGCCAAGCGTCGTGGAATAATAAACGTGGAACTCCTCGACATCGTTCACCTTGATAAGAAAGTCATCAGCCGGGTTTCGGCGCTTGACCCCGTGACTCATACCCGTCCAGGTGTTCGCGTTAAAAATGACAGGTCAGCATCTAGATCGCGGTCTCCTCGCCGCGGAGTACCCCCTCCCCGCTGTCCCCTCGCCTTGGAGTATTCCCCGCGCCCCGCTCCCCCCTCGGAGCTCCTGGGTTAGAACTCCCTACTATCACCTACTGTTGTAGAGCATAAAAAAGTATTATATTAGACCCGTATTTTTTTGGTAAATATGCAGAATAGGTCACACCTCACCGATTTCCTCGCCACTTAGATATGTTGCAGGGGAGAGTTTTCTGAGTAATTCCTCGCAAGAATCAAGTGGGGGACGGCATTGGTTTAGGAGATATAACAAATTGAAAACTAAAAATTTTAATACTTTTTTGTTAGTAATTTTTATTAAAATGCCTGTGTAGCTACCTTTAAAATCATAAACAAACTACCGTTTTCATTTACAAGGTCACACCTGCTCCCTCCCGCACCAATCGGTACGGGTTGAACACACACATACGCGCGCGCGCGCACGCTTAATTCTTCTCGCGGCGCAGACTGACCGAGCAAGCGAGATCCACTCTACACCTCAGACATGGTTTGGGTATGGTTATATTTTAACGAAGTGGGCCCCCCCGAAGGGGGGGGCGGAACATACTGTCTCCACGCATGTACTTCCATCATTGTACTGTTCCACATGGGTTTGCAACTTTCCCCGTGAAGCGAGATCCACTCCACACCTCTGACATAGGGTAGGTAGGGTTATTTTTAACGAAGTGGAGCCCCCCGAAGGGGGGCGGAACCTACTCTCTCCACGCATACATTTTTCTACCCACATATAAGTCACTCCCCTCCACCAAATGTAGATAGGAAAATGTATGCGTGAAGACAGTGTGTTCGGGGGCGCTGGGCGAAGGGACC